TGATCTCTATTCATTCTGTAGTTAGTAAATAGTTCCTTATCTGAAGGTAATAGTTTGAAACATTAATTTTGATTGATCTAATGTTTAATCCGTCACGTTTTTAAGGTCATTTCATGAATACTTTGTTCTTGCAGCTTTCACACAAACCAACGGAAAGCCAATTCGTCTTGCAGCGATATCTATGTTGCTTTCTGTTGAGGGGCAATGAAAGTCACCAAGATGTAGTGTTACATTTAAATGCATTGGCTTTGTTGGCATCATCGAAAATCACCTTAGCTATTTATTCAATTTGTAGGGACCTCTCATATAATCAAATCTCTGAGTTATCGAGGAACATTTTTGCTGACTTAAAAGGCCTGGAACATCTGTAAGATTTAATTCTTTTGTTTTTTCCTTACATTGGCTTGTCTTTTCTCAAAATCTAAATCAGATTATTTTTATTTTCTTTAGCTAGGATTGGACTAATAATTTAACTTTAACCGCCCGGTTCAGGTTACCATTATCATCTACAGAAAACCTAAGATGTTTAAATTTGTGTAGAACTGATAGCCAGGGTTATCCCGGGATAAATAAAGAACTCTAGTTCAGCTTCATTGCTGTACCGGCACTGGAATGAATACTATAAAACAGGCTTAGATTTTTGGTAAGGGCAGCTTACCTCGTCTTAGTATCAGCGTGTTGCATCTAAGATGATCTTGGATAGTTAGTTGTACAATCAAACAATCAAACTTTCACACTATACAATAATGCGATGATTGTTTCTAACAATATGGGATATACGTCATCGGAAACTTGCAGAAACATTAAAGAACGGGAATTGAATAATAAAAATGTGACGGAAGTTTCCTTTGCGGAATCTTCCGGAAAGGTGTTTCGTGCATAGAAAAGTAGATAGCCACGTTGACACTGGCTGGAAACGTGACGGATATACGGCAGCTCTATGTTTCCGTTGAGTTTTCAAAATGTGGAAACACTTCGTTTCGTCCTTTGTTAATAATCGATTCTTATTGTTATTACGCGTTGTTTAGAGACCTTTCTCACAACCGGATAACAATGCCTCATTCAGAAGTTTTCAGAGAATTGGAGAGTTTCAAATACTTGTAAGTTTCAATTTGATATTTGTTTTTAGCATGTACTAAAACAGTGGATAGTGTTTTTCGCACACTCTGATTGGCTACTCAAAGGCAGGATATCCAGTGCAGTTCACTGATTCACCTCCAGCTCTTCCGAGCGAGCGACGCGAATGCAAACTCTCTTAAGTTACGACCAAAATGGTTTCCCGGTTTGCTGCCGTAAACAAACAAAGAAATATCACAAATAATCATGACAAGCTGTTCCCGGCATACACAAAGAAGATGACTAAATTCGGTTTGGAAGCTTTAACAGGTAAACCTTTGTCTGTTTGACTTCAATTTACCGATGAAACCGTGAGAAACTTTTTTGTTTCAGTACAAATACAAACTAGGTCTTGCGTAAAATAAATAAGCTTAAAACTAAATCAATTTTTTTTTTTACAGAATGGCTTCAAATACAAAAAGAATTCATAACTTTTGAAGGAATTTCCCTACATTAGATAAAAGAATGCCCTCAAAAGTGTTATTTGTCAGCAAGAAAACGCGACGGCCGTTCGGTCATTTGCGCCTCAAAATTGTCTGAATTGTTGGCAACAAATGAGTTAAAAACCATCTCTTTTGTGTTCAATTATCTCAATGTTTTTGAATATACTAAAACAATTATTCACCTCAGTGTTGGTGGCTAGTGGTGTGTATATACCTTGCCGCTTAGCGGCTCGGAAAACTATCATTACCACCTCCACCTCAGTAAATAATTGTTATTTATTTCAGTGACACGTTTTTGTTTCGCTTTAACAAAGCTGCATGTTACAACCACAAAGTGAAACAACAAGCCTCGAACATATATTAAAATACCGTACACTATCACGGAGGACGTCTCCTCATGTGCATGCGCAAAAGTTATGACTAGAATAACCAGTGCACTTTTTCGCGATAAGAAAGCGCAGTCACTCAGGGTAAAATAAAATGAAAAACGCATTGCATGAAATTAATTTAAATCTTAGTCGTCACTGATAACTCCCAAGGTGTCAACTAATATACCTACATTTTTAATGTATGGGCGGATCAAGGATTTGGATGAGGGGTCCGCGAAATTTTCTGTGAGATTTTTAGTATAATTTTTAAATAATTCTTAGTAAAATAAGTAGTATCCGTACAGCTGTCAAATCCCCCCACCCCCGTCCCCGCTGCATTTTTGAATTGCAATGAGCCTACCAGTATCGTAGCTTCAAGTGCTGAATATGTTTTCGAAATATCCAAACAGAACATACAATTCCTTGACACGCACCGACAAGGCTATAGCACTCACAACGCCAGCTTTTGAATTCCTTCATTGTCCCTATATATATTTTTATAAGGTTTCTAAACTATAACAAGATCAACCAGCTTCATGCTGATATATTTCATGGGCTCCAAAACCTGGAAAGATTGTAAGTACAATTAAGCTTTATGAGACATTCATATAGAATGGAAATGTAGTAATGTAGTTTTAATACAGTAATAAACTTAAACAAGCTGTCCCTAAGGAACCAAGCACTAAAAAAGTAAATCTCGACATTCGCGGGAAAAATTGCACGTTTCCCCTTTGACGCAAAGTTCCCCGGTAAGTACAACTTTTGGCGGGAAACAGCTTTATTGTAAGTTGTCGTGTGATGCCGAGGTAACCAATGAGAGTGCTTCCGTTGGGACAAAATTTCAGCAATACAAAAGTAGTGTGTAATCTTAATTTTTATTAAAACGGAATCAATGAATAATGCAATTCTAGAGCTCTGATTGGATTAGCAACTATGGTATATGAGCCATTATACCATGCTCTCCAAATATGTTAACTGTACGCGTTTCTTTTTGGAATAAAGCCAGGAAGAATTCTCGATATTTTGTGGGCGTTTTAAATGAAACAATTATTCCACTCGCGCTTGTTGGATATGAGATGATTATAGTCAACCGGCCCTATGCGCCTCGTTGGCTCTCTAACATCTCATATCCAACGCCCACTCGTGGAATAATTGTTAAATAACCTGCGTCAGTAGCAGGCGCTTCGAAGTAATATGCGAAAAAGAACGAGGCGCGCAAGGAAGACTCTCGCCTCACGTTCTTTCTCAGTTGAGACTTTTACTCATCAGATAGATAAACTTTTGAACGCATACATTGGCTAAAACAAGGAAGTTAAAGAATTTTTCCCACAGAGTCTCCACAACAATGCTTATGTTCATTTATGCAATGCTAAGACAAAACCTCATAACCAGATGAGCAACAAATGAAAATGAAATCGCTAGATATTACAATGAAGCTGAATATTCTCCAAAAAATCGTACGTCACTGTTTCGGTTCACCGCTAAAACTCAATGACTAAATTAGAAGACAAGTCAAGACAAAATTGATTTATCCTCTTCTGATAACTTATATTGCCACTCAAGTGTTTTTTTATAAGTATATATTTCTTGTAGGTATCTGCAGGGAAACTTGCTTAAAGCGCTGCCTTTACAGGTATTCGCAGGCCTCCGGAGTCTTAAGTATTTGTGAGTATTTTCTTCTACCTTGCATAATAGACGCGTTACAGGTTAAATTCCTCTGAAAATTTTGCCGAAAAAAATCCGGAAAGGCGTCAGGTTGGTATGAGATCTAGCAACAATCAAAATTTTTTTTTGCAACTGTTTATTATTACTAGTATTATTATTATCATTATTATTATTATTATTATTATTATTATTATTATTACTATTATTATTGTTAATGATATATGAAATACATCATATACGTACTGCGGAAATGAAATGAAAATGAAGAAATAATAATAAAAAAAAAAAAATCAGGACTTTAACGAGGTTTGAACCCGTGACCTCTCGATACCGGTGCGATGATCTACCAATGAGCTATGAAGCCACTGAATTTTTTTTCCTGGCTTCTTTACGCAGTTGCATAAATTGCGTTCACTGCGACGATCATTTCTTCATTTTCACTATTATTATTATTATTATTATTATTATTATTATTGTTATTATTATTATTATTATTATTATTATTATTATTATTATTACTTTACGAATACGAGATTTTATTCTTTTTTTTTTTACCTTGTTTTCTTTTTAATATCAGAGACGGACAATTCTCTTTTGTAATGACTTAATTTAAAACTTTGGACTGCCCACAAGAGTTATTGACCGCATCTGAGCCGCAAGGAATGTATTTGGGAAATCGTTATTGACACGGGAAATTTTTCCTTTTTTATGATTTATATAATTCTTAATCTTATATAGTGCTTAATTCTTACCTCAAATATTCTGTAAATTATGTACACATTTTTAAAGTTGAATAAAATTATTGAGTATATTGAAGATGAAACAACAACAACATGATATTAAGTTGAGGAGGACTCGGAAAAAAAATCCGAGTCCCAGATGGGATTTGAACCCACGACCCTCCGTGATCTAGTCGGATGCTCTAACCACTTGAGCTACTGGAGACTCTATGGTGAGCAGGGGCCAATTTGTGGGTCTCGACTGGAACCGCATCACGCGGCTACACAGCCAAGTAATGATAGGCACACAAGAAGTGAAGAACTCACTAACAGCATTGCGCTGTCACCTTAAAGCATATCCAAGATGCCGCCAACCAACCTCCAAAGTGAGTATATTGAAGATGAAACAACAACAACATGATATTAAGTTGAGGAGGACTCGGAGATCACGGAGGGTCGTGGGTTCAAATCCCATCTGGGACTCGGATTTTTTTTCCGAGTCCTCTTCAACTAAATATCATGTAATAAAATTATTATTATGATAATATTTATTATTATTATTATTATTATTATTAATAACTTGCAGAGTATTTTATAACAAAAAAAAGAGTTATTTTTGTCTCGTACATCATTTTTTTGCCATATTAGTAAGCTATTCGACTATTATTACGTTTGCAAACATTTTACAGTTTTGTATTCACTGTCATTTTAGGAAGTTAGACATCTTTTCCTTGTGCTGTTATGCTACTAGAGTTCTCAAGCACGTGGACTGCGAATACCCATTGTCAGAGCAAGTCTCATTTTCAAGTTGCAATCGCATGATTGAGGACTCAGGTCCTAGAAAGATAATTTGGTTCCTCGGTGTACTTGCTGTGCTTGGTAACCTGGCTGTTATAGCCTGGCGTCTAATTAGGCGCGACGACCACCCGGTTCAGACCTGTCTTCTGACGAATCTCGCGGTGTCCGACTTTCTCATGGGAGTGTACCTTATGATTGTTGCCATTCAAGACCAAATATGGGCAGGTATGGGTTTCGATCACCATTATTTCGGTGGGACCAATACAAATTCTTATTTTTTTTTCTATTTTACTGACAGAGCATTTATCATAAGCTTGGCTAGTTTTACAAGTAACAGATTTTGAATCAAAATGATGAAACAGTACGTAACCCCTTTATGGGTTTTTAAGGTCATTTTTAAATGACCTTAAAAATTAATTCAACGAGATCACGCTGAATCGAGCCTTTTTAATTTGAGGTCACATTAAACTAAAGCTTGTACACAGGCCCGGTACAAGACATATACCTTCAAATAGCATGTCACAGGCAAATGAAAGGCACGCGCAAATATGAGCTCATGATCTGGGAAAAGGGGGCGGTCGCAGTTCGTTCCTTTTTAATTAAACTGTTACTAGAATTTTGACATCAATCCTGTAACGTCATTTTCCCGCCAAAAACCGCTAAAATCAAAAAAGTAAAACCAACGAAACATGCGCAAAAAAAAGTTGTACCATCCTGCAAAGTTTCGGATCAAACGGATAAAAATTGTGAGAGAATTCTTTCCTGGCCATTTTTGATGTTTTCTTTTTTTCAAGAGTGTGAAGTGCAAGTTTAGCTATTGATTTCAGACTCTAAACATTTACACTCGTAAATTTTTCATTAAATTGATCCCAGCCTTAGCTACTATAATACACATCGTGACCTCGATCGAATTCTTTTAAATAATAATGTGGTCTGGAAGTTATTTTCCAAGTAGAGCATACAATAGGGTGCACAGACAAGTGAGTGTTATCATAATACTGAAATAGTGCTTCATTTCCAGGTGCTTACTTTAACTTCGACCTCACTTGGCGATCAGGAACACTTTGTAAACTTGCTGGTGCTTTATCAGTGCTGTCGAGCGAAGTCTCGGTACTAATGCTGACTGTTATAACCGCTGATCGATTGATCAGCATCGTCTTTACATTCAGCTGTCGCCGACTGACTCTAAGGGGAACTTACGTTATTTGCGCAGCCGTCTGGGTCATCGGAACCATAATTGCCGTCGTTCCGGCAAATGATCTCCCATATTTTTACAACGAGGACAGACAATATGGATTTTACGGTATATTCGCTTTTCAAGTGAAACTCCGCCCCCTTAATTTAATTTTCCCTTACTGGCTGGCTCTTTTAATCTAACGGATTAAAACGTCTTGATCAGTCTACCGAAGTATAGTGATGTTGAACAAAGTTTCGGTTATTTTTTAGAGAATCTTAGTAAAATGCTTGACAGAAGATTGTCATGGCAACAGAATACTACGCTCTGTGACTTTTTGGGTCAGAAACTGTCATTGCCATCTTCTCCATCCTTATTATCATCATTATCATCGTCATAGTCATCATCATCATCATTGTTATTTACTTCTTGTTCTTCCTCTCTCCTTATCATAATTAGCCTGTCACATTATCTGATATTAAGGACCAACTAAAATACGAAATTCGTATTTTTTTTTAAGGGCGTTCGTCAGTTTGTCTCCCTCTCCAACTGTCCTCAGAAAGGCTGGCCGGCTGGGAGTATTCAGTTGCCATATTTATCGCTTTGAATCTCACAGCTTTCCTTTTCATCATGACAGCCTACATAGCCATTATCTTTAAGGTGTTTACGTCACAGCAGAGAATCAACGCACATGGAGAATCAAAAACCAATAACAGCCTCAACAGAGAGTCGGCCCTCGCTCGGAGAGTGTTCGCCATCATCTTAACTGACTTCAGTTGCTGGATTCCTGTGATAATTTTGAGTATTCTTGCTCTCGTTGGGAAGTTCAATGATCCCGACGGAACGGCTTACGTTTGGTTTGCTGCGTTTGTCCTGCCGGTTAATTCATCAGTTAATCCAGTGCTCTACACGTTTTCTACACCGAAGGTAAGAGCGCAAGTGGGGAAACCTGAATGAAGGTGTAAAAATGACTACAGTTTTCGATATTCATATCCTTTAGCTCTTGAAACGAGCTATAGCTACATGCCATAAAAAAAGATCTACAATCCTGGTCATAATTTCTTGAAACACTTTCGGAAAACACAAGAAAAACTAAGTTCTTCCACGAATACATGTACATGTATCGCTTCCCTCTCCTTCCGTCAATGTTAAGGGGTTAGGTGGCGGAGAAATCAGCAAGCGTTTCAACAGTTAAGAAAAAGAGAGAGAAAGGAGCCGATTCCCTGATTGTAACTGAGTCTTCCCACCCTTTCCCTATGGAACTTTCTGGATCATTTAGAGCTAGTGTAGCACACACTTAACACAGATGTCTTAACCGGAGAACGTTACCGGGAATGGAAGTTAAATGGAAAAATTTTCGATGTCTGAAAACAGTCGGGAGTGATCGTCGGCGCCATTGGCCACCATAATTTTACTCGGCCGCGAAGCCTTTTTAACGAAAACATTCTCAATATTCTAAGAAAAAGATACTTACTTTAACTGATTATCTTCTCCACCCTTGCCCATACATTTTTCCACTTAACGTTAAAAGAAACCCCATTGAATAATCATAATGCGTGACTGCAGTGGGTGATGACTAGTACATGGTTATGCTGTCTACAATTGCTCTCTTACGCACCACCCTCCTCGTCCAATATTTACCGGAATTTAGGAAATAAACTAATCGATTCGATGCAGGGTGGGGGTTGGGGGGAAGGAAAGGAAATCTGTGGGACAGTCCGCCTGCCGGTATGACGTCACGTCTCGCGTCAGTAACTTTCAAAATGGCGAGCAAAGTGTTCATCGAAGAGACGGATTTCCGATTTCTTGGATTTGGAGATTT